GATGTTTTTTGGATGGGGGAGATACCCAGAGCCCCTAGTAAAAATTTTGGTTTGGAGTATTTACTAATCTCTGTCAAGGAGACTGCTTTATAAGCAGGTACTCTCCCTTATAATTTCCCTCATTATCTCCAGGAAGAAGCCCTTGACTAATTTCCTCAAATGATCTCATGGAATTTGGAGTTACTAATAATAATCCTATTTTGCTTAATATGTCTCTTCCCCATAGGTTTACTGTTAAGGACTCTAATACATAAGGTTTAAAAACTCCTCTGTTCTTATTAGGATCCACCCAACAGAGATAATTAGCACTTTGAGCAGGCTGTGAGATTTGTCCACTTCCCTATAAGTTAGCTGGTGCTATACATAAGGGCCAATTTTTAGGCCAGAAGTGACTGGACAGGACTGATTTATCTGCTCCAGTGTCCACTATGCCTTTGAACTTTTTATGATTAATTTTAATTTCCAGTAGGGGGCGCTCCTGCTGAATTTATTAGACTAGTACACTCTGTCTAGTAGTTTGGAAACTGAATTTACTTTTGGATGTCCATCTGAATTACAGGGTAATAAAATTAATTGAGCAATAGTATTTTTTGGAGTAAGCTGAAAGGGATAATTTGAATTTACAGTAACATTTAATTCTCCCACAAAACAAGAATCTACCACTCCAGGTATCACCTCGATAGCCTCTTTTAAATTGGTACGTCCCAAAATTAACACTATCCTTTCTCTAGGGAGTGGCCTGAAAATCCCAGTAGGGATTTGTTGTGGCCCTAATTCAGTATTTAATTCAATTATCATTGAGGGTCATAAAAAAAAAACTGTCTGTGAGATCTGCTCTGGTAGAAATGGTAGCTCCCCATGGTCAGCACTGATGATGTTAAATTGTGCAGCCTTTCTTCTTGTTCCCCTGTTTTTCTGGCCCAGGGATGGGCCAATCAGAAGTTTTTTGACTCCCTACTAGGTAGAAGTGAAGGCCAGAATGCGGGTTGATGAGCACCATCTTGGCCTACCATGTGGTCTTCAACCCTGTAAATCTATTACCAGCAGCAGAGGGAGCCCTGGGCTTAAATTTGTGGGCATTACAATTTCACACATAATGGCCATTCCTCTCACAATGAAAGCACTTCCCGTGGGGTCTACGTACTAATTCTTGGGGCTGGAGAGTTTGGTTTAATGCCACTGCAAGTGTAATTGTTTGTAAATGGGGTGGGTCGATATCATAACACAAACGAATAAACTCTGAAACCATACCCTTCTTTCTATGGTGTCTGAGAATATCTTGACAATATTTATTTGCATTTTCAAATGCCAACTGTTTAACAGTGAACTCACAAGCACCTAGATCTTCAATGGAGCTGTTTGTGGTCTGGTAGAGCCACCTACAAAATCAGAATAAAGTTCATTGACACCTTGCTTAACTTTAGTCAGAACTAAGCTAGATTGGACCCTGGAGACAATTTGTCTCCAGGCACATTTAGCACATGCTGTAATCTTATGATACACCACAAAGTCATAATTTAGTTGCCTTTCCAAATCAATAAATTCACCCATTCCTAAAAACATGTCCATGGGTGTTTGAAGAGCCAGCATCCAATTATTTCTGCCTGCTTGGAACAAAAGTCTGTCCAATATGACCACCAGGGTAAAAAATCCCCCCACTCAAGCAAGCTCTAGTGATAAAAATCCAATCGCTAGGTGGGAGTGGCTGAGAGCAAATAGTCTCAAGCAAGCTTTGCATGAATGATGAATTTGGACCTCAAGTGTTGTTTAACTCTTTAATAGTTTTAAAAGGAATTACTGCATGAACTCGAACAAGCTGGTCCTGATCATTAACCTGCTCAAAAACTGGAAAGAGTTGAAAGTCGCTAGTGTCCTCCCCAGCTTCCTGGGCCTTTCTAATTCCCCGCTGGAATGGAGTAAGGAAAGTCATCGCCAGCTCAGAATATCTGTTAAAATTTGTCCTTCTAACAGAGAGTGGCCAAATTCGAATGACTGGGGCAGGTGCAATTAAACACAATCTGTTAAAACCCTGGCAAATCCTGGACTTCATTGTATGACTCCTCTCCCTCAGACTGTGATTCCTCTATGGACTCTTCCCTGTCACCATGTTGAATCTGAGCTTGTAAGTCTTGTGGAGGAGAAGGACTTTATGTTTCTCTATGAATCTCCTCTGGATTCTCCTCTCTGGGAGAAAGACCTTCTATCCCCCTGGATGCCTCCTTCTATGATTCTCCTCTCTATGGTCTTCCTCCAGACTATTCTGGTTTGATTCAGGCAAGACTAAGTTTTTTACTTTCAGTCTTGCCCCAAGATTTTTTTTTTTTAATATGATTTGTTTTTATTTTTAGGCAGCTTAGAGGAAAAGAGATTTCCTTAGCCTCAGGAAATTTTTCCATTTGAATAGACTTAATGGCTCTCTGAATACCTTTCAATAGATCCTTAGGGGGCCACAGACTATGGCCCATGTAATCAAAAAGACAGATCTCTGATGCAGTTCAAACCTTTTGAATATTCACAAAAGTTCCAGGTAATTCATTAAAAAGGCAAATTTTATGTAATTTCCTTCCTAATTTGTCCAATGTATGTAAATTTGGTGAATCTTAGTCAGAAAACCAAGGGCAAAATTCACCTACAATCTTCAATAATTGCAGCAAATAGGTCTTTTTGACCTGCTTTCACTTCTGAGTAATTATTGTCTCTAAAATAGTCAAATACATGTCTTTATTGGTAGAAGTTGAATTCCCCATCATTAAAGATTTTGTAACGTCAGTTTGCTCCAAAAGTGCCTGGTCCTTTCGTGACCCTAAAAATTGTCAGAAATTCTGCATTTCTATAGTGTGCTTTCTAACTCAACCTAGTCCATTTAACTCACGAACCTCAATTCAGGGTGCCACTTCTGCCAAGCGACCAGCACTGACTTCATTAAAGATGGTTCAATTTGTGAGTAAAATGCTGGGGAGTTTTAAATTGAAGAAACAAGACTAATTACCTTTAAAACCAGCTCCAGGATGGCTTCTCCTAGCTCCTGCCTCCAGCCACCATGCGGTAGCGAGGTTTACTGAAGAGGCTAGTGAGAGAAAGGGAACACGCCAGGGAGTGGGCTTTTATTGGGTTACAAAAAATTCCAGGGAAAATCCTATCCAATGAAGGTTAAGGGGGGCAGCATCCCAAGGTCAGGGGCAGCAACTGGGACTTCTGGGCAGTGGCTAGACATGCCTCTGCACAGACAAGCCCTCCAACCTGGAAAAGGGTGGGGAAAGCTCTCACACAGCTGTGTCTAAGAACCTCTCACCCAGCCAGGGTGCAAGGATGGCCTGCCACAGTGAATTAATCCCCTGATGGGATTAACTAAATGGAAACTGAAGGTGGGTGGGTTGTGGCTGGAGGAAGTGGGACACTGGGGTCTTGTCTTGTTGGTATATATTTTTTATCTGGCAAGTGGAATCTCTCTCTGCTTCTTTATTATCATGTGTGGAGCTTCTCTCCACTACACTCTTACACCATGATGTTGTGCCTCACCTTGAGCTCTAAGGAATATAGCTTGCTGTATTTGGATTGAAACCTCTGAAACTGTGAGTCCCAGACAAGCTTTTTCTCTTCCAAAATTGTTCCTATCAGACCTTTTAGTCACAGCAGCAAAAAAAAAAAAAAAAAAGCTAACTGAGAAGTGGGGCCTTGGCTGTGACCATGTTGTTTGGAAGCTTTGGGGGATTTTTGGAATTTGGGGGAGGAATTTGAGCTGTTTAGTAGTGCAGGCTGGAAATGTTTTTGATTGTTGTAAGTAGAGCTTAATGACTCATTCTGATGTGAGTTCAGAATACGAAAATGCCAATAGAACCATGGATTGTAAAGACAGGGCTCAAGAGGGTTCAGAGAAAAAGAACCATATTGGAATTTGTAGTAGAGACAATTTGTGTTATGTTCTGTCTGAGAAATTGTCTGTATTTTGCCCAAAGTCTGTGAGGCTGATTTAAAAGTTCTGGTGAAAGAAGTATCTAGAAAGCATAGTGAAAGACCCCAGCCCAACAACGTCAGGCCTAGTTGCAAAACCACCCGAGGCATGTCACAAACCTACGCAGGCACCAGAGGTGTTTTTCAGATAATTAGTTAGGTGTAACCAGTTGAAAAAGGACAGAGAACCAGGTCCCGAGCATGCCTGAATAAGCAGGAACAAGAGGACCAGAGTGCAAATATGTAGCTTTTATGTGGTTCTTTTTCAGTAGCAAACAGTGAAAAACAACTTTGCCCTTTAGGTAATCTATATGCTGGGTTTAAAATTAATAAGAAACCTATTGTTTACTGTGCGTGAAAACTGCCCCTTTACCCTATAAAAATTTCTGTATCCCCAAGCCCGGTGTGCCAGCTCACCAAAGCTCCGGCTGAGGTTCTGCTGGGCACCTGTGTCCCAATAAACAAACCTCTTGCGCTTTTGCAGCCAGTGTTTCGTGTGATTCTCTTGGGACAGGGAAACAGGGGTCTTTCAATAGAATTTCAGCAGTGGCATACATGTTGCTGGTGGCTGTTAACCACATTTATTGTGATAATCAAGAGAAGAAAGCAGAGCAGAAAGATTTGAAAAACTTTCACTTGAAAGGTGGGAGTAAAACTGAGTCTATGGAAGTTGCAGTTGAGAAACACATTACCTAACTAAAATGCTAAAACCTTTTTCCAGAGACAATAAAAAAGATGGCTATAGAGCATCTCAGAAAATGGCAAGATCATATCCATCTCAGACTCAAGAAAATCAAAGTAAAAATTTTCTTGAGAAGAGACCAGTGGGGACCCCTTCTTTCAGGAGGGGACCTAGGAGTTTTTCAACAGAGTAATATACCCAGGCACTCAGAGGCTGCCACAGCCAGGGTCCTTGGAGGCTTAGCTAATGTTGAAGTTGGTGGCAGACCTTGCTGTCAACCACCTGGTTCTGCAGTAATGTAACATGGTGGAGTGTGGAGGTCAGGGAAGCCTTCATCGAGATTTCAAATTAAGGTGTGGGAGTCTAGAAAAAGTGCAGCAGCATCATAGTTCCTGCAAGCAAGGAGGGCAATGCATACAGATGTGAGGAAGAAGCAAAAGCTGCCGTGGCAATCCTCCAGAATAAGAAATTCCAGTACCATCGAACATCCATTGAGAAAGACTGCAGCAACCGAGGTGAGTCAAACCAACAGAAAGGCCATGTGGGCTACAATCAAGAAGGCCACAGATTGGAGTTAAACAAGCCATTTGGACAGAACATCATGTTATGTGCCCCAGATGCCAGATGTGGAACTACAGGACTTGTTTTTCTAGCTGGATTTAGACTTCCTGAACTCTCTGTACATTTATATTTTGGATGCATGTTCATTGCTTTTGAATTTTTACAGGAGCTCATGATATGAGCTTACCCTGAGTCTCAGAGGAGATTTTTTTTAATATAAAATTTTGGGTAGCTTGAACTGTTCAGCCTATGGGAACTCTTGGAAATGGACTAAATGTATTTTCCATGAGATGAACATGAGCTTTTGTGGGTCAGGTGTGGAATGTTATTGTTTAAATATTAGTTGTCCCCCAGAAGCTCGTGTGAAAGACAATGCAAGCATGTTTAGAGGAAAAATGATTTAAGGTATGAGAGTCTCAACCCAGTTAGTGGGTTAATCCCCTGAAGTGACTATCTGAGTGAAAATGGAAACAGGTAGGGTGTGGCTTGAGGAGGTGGGTCATTGGGGGTAAGCCTTTGGGGTATATATTTTGCCTGGCAAGTGGAGTCTCTCTCTGCTTACTGATTATCATGTGAACTGCTTCCCTCCATAACACTCTTTCACCATGATGTTCTGCTTCACATGGAGCCCTGAGAACCGACCTTGCTGGCTATGGATTGAGACCACTAAAACTATGAGTCCTAAATAAACTTTTCCTCTTCTCCAATTGATCTTGTCAAGTCTTTTATTCACAGCAGCAAAAAAGTAACTAAAACATCAATAGAACAGAATAGAAGATATAAAGACAAAACCGCATAGATATATAGCAATCTGATACTCAAAAAGGTGCTAAAAACTTAAGTTGGAGAAATGATGATCTTTTTAATAAATGTTGCTAATGAAAACTGTATATTCATATGTACAAGAATGAAAGTAGATGCTTACTTTTCACCCTGACAAAAGTCAACTCAAAGCGGATCTGATACCTAGGAATTAGACCAGAAAATGCAACTGTTGGAGGAAAACATAAAGTCACCACTCCAATGTATTGGAGCAGGCACCAACTTCCTTAGCAAAACCCTAAAGCTCAAAAAATCCAAGAATGAATAATTGGGATGGCATCAAATTAAAAATCTTATGCACAATAAAGGGAACAATTAAGTGAATAAAAAGAAAGCCTACAGAAATCTTTGCCAGCTACTCCTCATAGAGGGATTAATGTCCAGAATATATAAAAAACTCAAAATACTTAACAAAAAGGGAAAAAACACAGTCAACAAGTGGGCAGAAGAACTAAACAGATATTTCTCAAAAGAAAAAATATAAAAATCAACAAACACATGAAAAAATACTCAATATTTCTAGCAATCACGGAAATGGACATCTAAATAATACTGAGACTTTATCTCACTCGATTTAGAATGTCAATCATGGAGAATGCAAAGAAAAATAAATGCTGGCAAGAATGGTACACTCAAACATTTTTGGTGGCACTGAAAACTAGTACAACCATTTTGGAATGTAGTTTGTAGATTTCTTCAAAGCCCAGGAATGGATCAGCCCTATGACCCAGCTATCCTGTTTCTTGTTGGACATGAAAAATAAATAAATAAATAAATAAATAAATAAGGCCATTACAGTGAAACAAGAACATCACATCAATATTTATAGCAGTGCCATTCACTAATAACCAAGTTATGGGACCAGCCCAGATACTCATTAATAAATGAATGAAAAAATAGGATATGCCATATATACACAATAGAGTTTTACTCAACCATGAAGAAGACTGAGATAATGGCATTTGCTGGGAAATTAATTGAACTGGAGAACATAACACTAAATGAAATAAGTTAGACTCATAAAGTCAAAGGTTGAATATTTTTCTTCACATGCAGAAGCTAAAGCAAAATAAGAGAAAAAGATAGGTGGAGGGTAATTACTTGAAAATAAAAGGTAAGAGAGTGGATTAGTATAAAAGGATAGAAGGGAAAGGAAAAGAGAGAAAAAGTAAGAGACTGTGGAATAAAATTGACCACATTATTCTATGTATCTAAATTTGAATACAACATAGTGGCTGATCATGGTGGCACACCCCTGTGATCCCAGAAACTCAGGAAGCTAAAGAAAAAGGATTGAGTGTCCAAAGCCAACTCAGTGAGACTCTGTCTCTAAATAAAATATTTTAAAAAGGGCTGGAATTGTGGCTCAGTGTTTAAATACCTCTGGGTCCAATCCTCAGTATCCCCCCCAAAAAAAAAATTTAATACAACACAGTAGAGTTTTCTTTTATGTATATCTATAAAACATCCATTAAGAACAATAAATTAATCAAAGAAAGACCAGTAGAACAAAGAAAGGGGAATACGGGACAGTGGAAAAAAAGAAAAGAGGTGGTAGTAGGAGAAAATTATTTTCTATGCATCTATGGTTGCATAGAAAATGAGAAAATTATTTTCTATGCATCTATGGTTTTGTGAAAATGAATTCCACTATTATATGTAAGTATAATGCACTAATAAAAACATTTTTATTAATTGAAAAGAGAAGCCATATGATCCAGCAATTCTATTACTGAGAAGAACATGAAGTCAGTGTGGAATAAGATACCTGCATGCTCATGTTAATTGCAGCCCTATTCACAATAGCTAAGAAGTGGAAACAAGCTAGGACTTCATAGATGAATGAATATATAAAGAAAATATATATTCATATATATACATATATATTCATAAAGAAGAATGAGAAGGAGGAGGAGTTGCAAGGTGGTGGAGGGGAGGCAATGAAATGTGGAGTAATGAGGATTGAAATGGAGCAAATTACATTTCATGCATGTATGAATATGTCACAATAAACTCCACTACAATGTATAAGGCACTTAAAAATTTGAATTTTTTAAATGAAAGAGCCTAGAAGCTAGTGGAATGAAAAAAACAGAAACAAAATCCTATCATTTGCAACAACATGGATGGATCTGGAGGTCTATATGTCAAGTGAAATAAAACAGGCTCAAGTATTGCATATCATACCAATGTAGAATCTTAGAAATTCAGAGTATAATTATGTTGCCAAAAGGTTGGGAGAATATAGTTGACAGTTGGCAAAAGTTTGATCAATGAGTATAAAATGACAGTTGGGTGGGAGCATAAAATATCGGTGTGCTATTGTACAGTGGGGAGATATAGCTCACAATAATGTACTGTACATTTTTAAAAGTTATAATAATAATTTTGATAGTTTTCACCATGAAAGAAATGATAAGGGATGGAGCTCTGGCTTAGTGGTAGAGCACATGTCTAGCAAGTGTGAGGCACTGGGGTTGATGCCCAGTACCACATTAAAAAAACCTACATAAACAAAAAGTATTGTGTCCATCACAACTAAAAATATTTTATTTTTTTTAATTTTTATTATTAGTTGTTCAAAACATTACACAGTTCTTGACATATCATATTTCATACATTTGATTCAAGTG